GGCTTAGAGCAGTGATTCTCAACCTTTCTAATGCCGTGACCCCATCATACAGTTCCCCATGTTGTGGTGACCCCCAAGTGGGTGTGGCCACTAATAAGAGGGAGTAGGACAGCTAGGGAAAAGGGAAAAAAATGGCGGGCAGCATGGTTTGGTGACCCCCGTGAAATGATCATTTGACCCCAAATGGGGTCCCGACCCACAGGTTGAGAACCACTGGCTTAGAGAGAAGTGAACCAAAGTCATCCAGCTGGCTTTCATGCCTTAAGGTGGCACTAGTATTTACGGTCTCCCTGTTTTAGCCTGGTTTCTTAACCGGACAGTCATGAGAAATCCATCTGATTTGGGGATCTATTCTATCTGCATATGGAATATTATCTATCTACCTATCTACCTATCTATCTATCTATCTATCTATCTATCTATCTATCTATCTATCTATCTATCTACCTACCTACCTACCTACCTACCATGCATCCATCTTGATAAACTGTATGTATGTATGTATGTATGTATGTATGTATGTATGTATGTATGTATATATATATATATATATATATACACATACATACATACATACATATATATATATAAGTTTATCAAACAGTTGTTAGTTTATTAAACAGGTTTTATTTATCCCGGTGTTCGACTACTTTTCTCAACACACACACACACACACACACACACACACACACACACACACACTTAAGAATGCTAAAAACAAAAAGGTGATTCCTGGGTAGATTCATGTTTAACTAGCCAAAAATGCACGAACACCAGGAAATTATAAAACTATAAAAAGTTTTAATAAGATAAAATACCAAGCTTTCGCTGGCAGCTGCCAGCATCATCAGGGTAACTTCCAGTCGATGGGGGAAGCTATTTATGGATGTGGTGTTCTTTGCGCACGGCTCCTAGACCTGTAACATTTTTGTATTGTTCCTAACACCTAACATAATGAGAAAATATTATTGTCTTCCCAATCCAGAGATATTTCTCACTGTTAAAAAATGGCCACTAGAATGCAAAAAGCTTCTAAAGTAACAATAGAATCTTTTTTAAAAAGTTACTAGCAAAACTGATTAACAAGTATGAATTCTAAGCAGTAAATATTATGACAGCCAACATTTGAATTTAATTGAAGACTTAAAAGTACTCTCTGAATATGATTTACTGGCAGGACAAAATGATTGCAACAGGAAAAAAGTGATAACACAAAAGCTGAACATATTATTTTAAATTCAAAACATCATCTTAATTAATTCAGGCAATGCTAATAGCTTGACTATGTAACATTGATCAAAATAATCAATCCATGAAAGTGAGAAGGGACCAATCTTTTGTATTTGGGCACTAGCATAAATGGTAACACACTCAACAATTCAGTAAAAAAAAAAGAAGATATCAACTGCCAGAAAATCTCCTAAATCTATTAATGGAAAGAATATAAAATATACATATAAAAATATGGGTAGATCACATTGTGCCACATAAAAAGTAATATTTCAAGTCAGCATCTTTTAAACACTAATTCAGATATAATAGTTGATCTTGTTCATCAGAATCCAAAGCTTTACTCCCCTCTCTTATGCACATATGTCAAGGTCTTAAAATACCAAGCATAGAGCAACATAATTCATGTAGTAACGACTGCCTATTAATCTCCTGCAAGATGAGGTTGAGCACCAGAACACTATATCACAACCAAGAATACATCAAAGCAAGATGCCAGTTCAGAACAAAGTATATACTTGGGAATACATAGCTACATGGAACTTCTGAACAATAACTACATCTCAAAATATATAGTACTTTACTCCTAAACAGGAAATAACAGGACTCATGTGGACAAGGCACCATCATCAGGAAGAAGAAATGAACATACAAGAATGCTAGGAAATGGAAGTGCAATTAATGGAACAAGAATGGAATTACCACTTTATTTTATACAAATATACGCAATAAAGAAATCTGAAAGTTCAGGTTTCAAAGAGCACAGAAACCTCCCTGGATGCACAAGGTCCCTAATTGTAAGTTTATGTTCCTCATGGAGAGAAAACATAAAGCACAATAGAAAAGAGGAGAGATTGAACTGGTGTGTTTATTATTTACCCTCTGCATTCACAATACACCACAGAAGAAGATCTCAGAAAGAATTAGAAGTTCTTTCTCAGCAGGCAAAAAAAAAGCATTCCATATTCTACACATCTTAATCAAACAACCATTGTATACCGATTTTAAACATGTATGACTTTCCAGAATGAATGAATGCAATGCTGAAATCTGGAACTCTTAAAAGCAACCATTCGCCCACAACTTTTAGTAATTACTAAGAACGTACATTCTATATGAAGCTGAAAGGGAGAACTATTGCCACTATAGTATTGCTGAATAGCTAACACTAACAGGTATTTATAGGCTTGCACAAATCAGCCCTACCCAGATAATAATTCCTATAGGCTTATGAAACATTACCAGATTTTTAAAGTTCTGTGATCAAAATGAATTAATATAAGTGCCATGTAAATGGGTCAACCCTAACAGATTTCTGCACCAAATAAATACATTTTTTGCTTTACCTATACAACGTGTTTGACCATTTCTCCTCCTATATTCTAATTCTGTACAATACTTCAAATTCGGTTCTGAAGAAATGTTTTGAAATGTGTGGGACTACAAAGGCCATCACCCACGAGGCTCATTAAAGCAACAGTGTCCAGTTCCAAGATCATGCTGCTCTGCAGGATTGTGCTACAGTAACCCAGTCCTAAGAATAAGCTGCTTTGGTGAGTCAATCACCAGGTATTCCGTTCGTATTCCTGTGCATTGTAAAACATATCTTCTGAATCAGAGTTGGAACCCTGCAAAGTTCAATTTCCTTCCCTACTAGTTCTAAATCCAAAGTCTAAATCTCATTGAAAGATTGTGTGCGCAAAATAAAAGATGTGTTCTCACAGGGGATGGGAGCAGAGTCAAGCCAAGCAAAATCACATACATTTCTGTCCTCCCCATACACCAGACTCACACAGGTAGTCCTCCATACAGGATCAACAACTGGGCCCAGAATTTGAGTCGTTGAGCAAAGTGGTCTTGAGATGCCACATGACTGCTTTGCTGAAAGTTTGCAATTCTAACTTTCCCAATTTTAGTCTTTAAGTGACAATTGAGGTCATTGACCACTGGGGAGAAGAATCATGACAACATTGGCATTTGCTAGCATTTTCACTAGATTTGAAGCCTGTTTCTCCAGAGTGGGAGTCCAAATCCTATACTATGTAACCGAAGTTTGATTAATAAGACCTAAACAGCCTGATTCATGAGTTATAAACCACAAGATACAAAATATTCACATAACATCCTAAGCTGAAAATAAACAAGCCATTTTTGTAGCATCATGTGTCCTCCATGATCCCATTTAAGTGAGAGTTTTAAAACTATAACAGATGCTCTTTTTCAAAAGGCATTGCCTCCAACAATGAAGGGCAGCCTAATGCTTAGGGATGTGCAAAACCCATTAAACCCAGAGAACCTTAGGACATTCCACTCCCTCTCCAGACCACGCTAAACCTCCTGCCCCCAGACGTGCCATTCTGGGTAGTTCTGACGGAACTGGAAGCAAATCCCCTAAAATGGAAGCAGAACACAGAATTTACTTATGGAAGCCCCAAATTCCTCCAGAACAGCATGGGCCAAAAAGTCAACTGAAATTAAAGCACGGTCGAGAGGGAGACTGGAATGTGCTGCTTCCAAACTGGCAAGCTCTACATATCCCTGCAGGTGACTAACCAATGCCAGGGCTCTTGCAACCGATGCAGAGTGGAACAGGAGATGAACTTTCTATAGATCTTTAAGGATCATGAGGCAAGATACCACACCAAAATTGAAATACAAGTCAAATATTGTTGTAAAAATATCTCATCTATTTTATTATTTCTTTCAGAAAAGCACTTAAAGTAAGTGCTGGCATTCTGATTAGGCAACATTTTAAAAAAAAACCCTGAGAAACAATAACAGTGGTTTGGCACCTTGACAATTTTCCCAATTGGTATTTTGTGAATCTAATGAATCAAACTGTAGCCTCTGAAAAGTTTGGACATGATCCAACTGTTAGTCTTTTAAAATAACCCACACTCGGTTTTCAGCGCAAGAGACATTGCCATCACTTTGGAAATGATGAAAATGTTCAGATAACAGCTAAAAAGTGTAGCTATAACTCTAGAGTTTAAGACTAGGTGCATAAAATAGTTTTTCGGGTGGAAAGAAAAGAAATATGTGCTTCTAGAATTTGGCTATCACAAGAGGATGGGCTCAAAAATACAACTCACATGAAATGCCCTTCCCAGTGAACCACCGAAAGAGGAAAGGTCAAGAACACAGCTAAAACAACTCACTGACTGCGTAACAGTAGTATTAATAGTTCTATCTAAAAAAACTATTTGTTATGAAACTCTATCCAAAAGTTCATCCCATGGAAAAATTTCATATGTATTTTTTGTACATAAGTCAACGTGGGATATGGATAGGTTTTATATGGATGGGGCACCTATGGTTCTCCAAAGATTCCTGAACTACATACCCTGACAGCCCTAATCATCCTGTTGGGAGTTGTAGTTCAGCTACGGGTCTGATAGTGGAGAGAACTAAGTTGAACATCACCCCCCAGCCATGGAAACTCATGGAGTAACCTTGGGATAATAATTTCCTCTCAGCCCATGTAAGCTGTCTTTAGCAACTGGAAGGGCATCAATCTTATAGCTAAATAAACTCCTGGGAGGCCACAAGCTAAGTGGTGACTTCTCCTCAACCCATACTTCTTTAGAAAGCAGATGAGCTACCGGCTTCTCTTAACCTCCACTAAAATCTTCTTTTTCTACCAAAGTCCAAGTTTAACTGAGGATGTTATCAGGAACAGTAGCCAGAAAAGAAGCAGTTTGAAATGGCAAACCACAGCATTTGGGGAGTGGGGAGAGGAAGCAGCAGGGGAAGAGATGTTATTTCCTCACCTTTCTTCATCCTTGAAAATGAATTTCCGCAGCTTGAGATCCCTCAGGACCAGCCCGCCATCGTGACAGTGTGCTACTGCAGAGGCTATCTGATAGAATAGCTTGGCTGCCTCTTCCTCCTTCAGCTTCTTGCAGGTACGAACAAAGGAATGCATGTCCCCATAGCTCCGTTCAAAGAACACATAAGCTTTCGTCTCTCCAAGAATGACTTCGGTAATTTGGTTGATGTTGTCATGAGGAGGCATGCAAAAACATGGCGCCAGTAATTCTTGGTAGCAGCCAACGTCGAACACCTGGAATTTGAGTTTGCAGTAAAAGAAAGGGTTACCAAAAGGAAGACCAATCGCTCCCCCACCCCTCAACATTAGTACTGGTCAACCCAAGACTATGAAATAGCTTTAGTAAATCAGCCACTGCCCAGTGGGTTGAGACAATAAACCCTGAAATATCCCAGCCAGCATAGATTTGGGGAATTCTGTAATCCCAATACATCTGCAGGGTGACAAGGCTGACAAAGAAGGAGTTAACTGTATGAGACATTTTTTCTTAAATCCTTAATGCCCTGGGCAGGCATTTTCCATAATGAAACTCTTGTCTTCTCCTCCGCTCCAGCTCCCAAAGCTAGCTGGTTAAAATATAAAAGGTATCAGCTGGGGGAGGGAAAGATGTACTTTCTCCCAATAAAAACAAAAAGGGGGCAGATTTTTTTAAAGCTCTCTAGGTGAGGGAGCGGGAGAATTAAAAATCCCTGGTGGCCCAGCATCTGATTTAATTTTCTTTTTGAGATACGATGGCTGGTGCTCTACATTGAACTTTTACTAGGCTGTAAGTCTTATGCTTTCCTCCCAAAGTTTGAATGGAATTCTAGAACAACTTTTGCAAAATAAGCCGTGCTTCCTATTTTTACTGGAAAGACCTGTGTCATCAGCTACACAAGGCCTGTCAGCACAGCTCTGCCAATACTCAGTGGACTCCTGCATGAAAGAGTCCACTTTTCCTCCCTGATGGAAAGAAACGGGGGTTATTTTTCCTTTCAGACTGTGGGCAAAACCATTCAGAGCTACAGATCGGTAATAAGTATATTGGCTCCACTTACCGTCAGAGATACACAAGGCTAAAGGATTTCTGCATCCATATTGTCCCAATGAGTTTTTATTACCAAACTGAAGGGTCCTGCCAAAGCTTCTTACTGACCTAGCTGTGCTTTCCAAGATACAGGGGAAAATATATTTCTCTTCCTTTTCCCAATGTGGTAATAGGGACATAAGCAGTACCCTCCTGATTTGAACTCCTGACCCATCTCATCAGCAGTCTCTTCTCACAGTGGCCAACCAACTGTACAAGGAAGCCCATTAATCTTCCAGCAGATGGTCTTCAGTCATACTGACATGAAGGCTGATCCACAACTTCCGTAAGTTTTATGGTGTTCTATACAAATGCCAAATAAGCTGTAATTTGGATGATTTGGTGTTAGCATGTTTGTGAACTCAAACTGATTTATAACTACGATTTAATCAAGATTATACTCTCTGTATACACTTCAGCACTCAATCATACATGTTCCTTGGCTGAAATCATGTGAGAAACTCATGACAAGTACATTTTAATCTAGCACCTTATGTAAACCCAAGGTGTAGGGTCCCAGTTTCTGGTTCACTATTTTGTGTGCAAACTTTTAACAAGTGGCTTAACTCAGTAAAACGTGGTTACATTAACTATGGGCAAAACGTTTTATATATATGTCTCACTGGGCTCAAAAGGATGATGGACAGGAACTTTCTAACACTGTTTCCTTTGCTTTTAAGAGATGGAGGGAGATATGGAGTTACTCAGGTCTTAAGGTATGCATTTGAAAAACATAAGAGAATAGGAAAGGTTGCAGTAAGTTTCAAAATCTCTTTGCTTATGATGGCCTGAATAGGAGGAATAGGAGATACAAGTATTTATTCAGCTTTCAGAGCACTTCAATTAAAAGAAAACAAATAGAAGTGCCTAGAAATTCTTCTTGAGAAAATGCTAGGGATACATAGACTACCTTTAAGTTGGACTGGGCTCCACTGCATTTAGAATGGGGAGTCCAGACTTCTGACACTTCTAGGCAAGTGTCTCTTTAAGAGCAAGCATATCCCTTATGAGCTTATGAATGAAAGTGCACCAAGAGTTCCAATACAAAAAGTTACATAAATCCACCAATCATGAATGAATCAGTGCTTGAGACATGTAGAAGATTCAAAAGAGTGCAATCATTTCATTGAAAATAATTAAGTATTGAAAGTAGGAATTATGGGTAAATTCCCTGCATTTGTTTCCCTTCAGACCCAATATAATAAGATTAAACAGAATTTGCTTTTGTTATTGCAGAAGTTACAATAAAAAATGTAGGCTTTTGTTATAAGCTAAGGACTAAGGAGGTGAGCTTGTTTTTATCATATGTCAAAATCTATTTTTGTCATCTTCTGACATGGGATAACACTTGCTGCATGTGTGCAGAAACAAGACTCTGCCTAATTCAATGGGTCATGCTCCCAGGTTAGCATGCATGCGATTAAAGCCTCTATCCTTACCAGCCTGATCACAGGCTAGCAAAAAATGTTTCCTGAGAACTGAATGCAAAAGTTTGTATTGCCCCTCTAAATCTTTGAAAAGTGGATGACAAAATGAAAATCTTTTACTTGAACAGATTAATCACTGTCCTAGTGCACTATCTGAGAAAGAGGAAGTGCAAGTCAATTTTGATAACACTGTATGAAATCTACTCAGAATGAAATATCAACTATTTACTCTGTGAGGCTGGGGCAGTAGATTTCAACCACCCTTATTCAGACAGGCTTCCTCAGCCTCTAGTGAGGGGAAGGCTGAATGACTATATTCACAACTGTGTGTCCAAGAAATATCAGATCAATTTTCAAGTACAGAGAAAGGTGCAGGTTTTAAACAGCATTTTCCTTTAACAGCCATGCAAAACTGTCTCTTCAGACTAACTTTTCAAAGGCCTTTTCTTAGTTGAATTGCATTATTTATATTAGTTGAATTGCATTATTTATATCGGAATGCCTGATTCTTAATTACCTTGAGTTCTGAGAAGGAAAGCAGAGTTCATCTGGATTACAGGAGTGTAACAGTCACAAAGAAGTGCCCAATGAAATTAAGGGGCCACATATGCCACAGAAAAGGTATTTAGAAGGAACAAGGATGGGCTAACTACTTGAATGCTTATTATTAGAAATTTACAAGTGCTGCAGTTCAACTATCTCCTACACTGGCATTTAGCTTTTAATTATAAAGCATGTTTAATGGATCCCCCAAGGTTACTTACTATGACCATGCAACTTAAGATATTTATCATGACCATGGTTTAAAGTAGTCATTCTTGGGGGAATCTACATGTTTCTTACAAGGCAGATTTCCTCCTGGTTGCAAGAGGCATCAAAAGAAAGAGGGTTTTTTCCCCCAAAATCATTTCTTAAACATTTCAAGTGAAAGTATACAAGGTCTTTGCATGTTTACATGTAAACATTTCATTTGGGGATATCAATTGCTCTTTCTGCAGGATGTAATGTTTTAATCTCTCATCTTTCTTAATAAGCCAATGAATACATTTTAAATAATAGATAAAATTAGTCCATTTTTCCAGCACCTTGCAACAGACAACATGCAAGATCAAATCCTCAGTGAGTTATAAACAGTATAAAATACTGAAAACTAATTTTTCATTAACATGCAGGAGCCATGATTCACAAGTGACCAATATATTTATACTGCCCTGCAAAGCAAGTCTTTACAAGCAACCAGAGAGTGCAATTTAATTTTCCCACCACAGACCAATCTAAATAAAAATCATCCACCAGTCAGCAGGGCTGTGCAAAGCTACTTTAATTATTTTAGGATGTTAATAGGCTTCTTGTTTGCTCCCAGCCATCGATGAAATCCAGGATTACAAGACCCTTTTACTTATTTATTCTTTCAAAAGACCTTCACTGTGCATTTTGAAAAAGAAAATCTAAAATTGAAAAGGTACAAAAATGACCATTTTCTCTAGTTGCCATCTATTAAACTGATGAATGGCACAGAAAACTGTAAGCAGCCACGAAGAGTATATACTGTACGCAGCACTTTAGGAACAAAGGAAACAGAATGGCCTCGGTGAATGGGTGCTAGTTTCCCCACAGACAAGCATGAGGGGGTTTCCTCTCTCCCCCCCCCCACCCCACTTCATAATGAAACTAAAGAGGCCAGTGGATGGGAAGCCAGTAACCCAGCAAGGGTAACCCACATTTGTCTAAAAAAAAAATTGCAATTCTGCAAGGCTTTTGAACGGTTGCTCCAAGGTGGGGGATGGTGTTTGCAAACAACCCATCAGTGTGAAAAAAAAGGCCAACAGATTAAAAATCAACTCTGCAGCTCAAACCTTCTGATTTTTTTTTTTTTTTTGAAAGGAATCCGCTGCTCTTCCAAGCTTGTTCCCAAATAAGTACCGTACGTACAATACGGAGGCTTGCCGCCTTAGGCTACCAGCATGCAATTGTTAAGTTGGCTAAAAAAAAAAATTATGGTTTATTTCCCCCCCCCCCCGTATATCCCCTCCCACTCTCCCGGAGAAGTATCCTGAGACTAGGAAGAATTGGCATCGTGCAAGTCAAAAAAAAAAAAAAAATCGGAAGAAAAAGGAAAGCGCTATATCCAGGGATTCCGATTTTAAACCCAACTCCCCCCCCCTTTTCAGTCCTTCCTCCCCCGCGGCTTTGGCTCTAGGCCACCGTTATAACGTGGCCATTGTCTGCAAAGTTGCTGAGAGCCGTTTAATTATGCAAGGCTTTGTTTGTTTAATTAAATTTCACCCAGCGCCTAACTCGGAGGTTCCCTCCCCGGCAAGCACACACTCCTTTGAGTACCCTCTAAAAATAAACTTGCCAGACAGGGAAAGGCCACGCTGCGTATGCGAGCTTCGGTGCAGGAAGGCGAGAGGAGGAAGGAAAGTTACCTTGCAAACCAGCTCCTCCTCGCTGTGCAGATGCACGGCCCGGAAAATGTGGTCTCCTTCCAGAGGCTCCAGCAATAAGTATTTCCCAATGCAAGAAACGCAATGCGACAAGTTCGGAGTCTCTGGCGGGCTCGGCGAGCCAAGATTGGGGCTAAAACTCTGGCTGGATTCAGTCTGTCTTATAGACGAGAGCTCCTCTAGATCTTGGGTTTTATTCCGAGGTCTTCCATACCGTGCTATCGTGATTGGGGTTGACCTTTGTATGTTCATGGGGATGGAGAAGAAACCCTCCAAGAAATCCCCCCCCAATTTCTCTCTCCCTCACACTCACAACTCACTCAACACGCGCACAATTCTTTTGGCGTTATCAGTCGCTCAGCTTCAGGCCGGCCGCAAGAATGCCTTTGTGCTGTCGTAGAAAAGAGTGCTCGGGTGGCAGGTTTCTGTAGGATCTACAGTCCGGTTTCCAGAAGCCAAAAAGCGGATGATCTCTCGTCGCTGGGAAGGGGGCGTTGGGGGGTGGGGTGGGCGATCGATCGAACGATTCTCCCCGCCGAACCTCGGCCGCGTTCGATTCGAACGTTTGGCTACACCTTTGTACTCAAAAGCGGCGAAGTCCCGCAAAGTAGAAAAACTGAGCAAAGCGGAACCTCCCCGGAAACGCCGCGGGGTTTAAAAATCAAAACAGCTGGTAAACGCGTTCCGAGGGCCAGGTTCGTTATCAGTCTCCGATTCTCCAATTGCTCGCTTCGAAATCTTCACACGGGTTATTTGAACGTGCTACAGCAGGCGACGGGCTTTTTCTTTCTTGCTTTTTCGATACGGTTTTTAATAACCTACTTTAAACTGTAGAGGGCGTCTGATCCTTTTTTCCCTCGTGGAAAGGACTATATTCAGAGAAGCAACCCAAGACAAATAAATAAAAAAAAAAAATAAGCAGCGGAGTATTTAACTTCAGCGGATTGCCGAGACGCTCGGCTAACGGTGCGGGAGTACGCTATCTGATCAGATCCGGATTTATTTTAATTGAACCTCCTTTGCGGTGCAAGAAAAACGTTTCCCAAACTAAAAGCGCCGCTCCTACCAGGATACGAAGTGCGCGAAGCTTCAGGAGCTGCAGCGCTGAATTGGTTGCGTGCGTTGGCTTCCTTTGATCAGACGGAAAAGTGCAACCAAGGACAAGAATAAATCGATGCTCTTTAGCTTTCCATTGGCCTGGGTGATGTCCGGTCTTTCTTCGTTGTTCACCGGATGGTTTGAGTGCAGTGCACATTCAAGCAAAAAAAAGAAAAAGACCACAAAGGACGAGAAAAAAAAAAGAGAGCGCTGCAGAAAAAAAAAAAATCACCCTCCCGACGATCTTCTTAGCCCCCTCCCCAGAGTCCTGAGATGCAGAAAAGGAGGGAGGGAGGCGATGCAGCCACTTCGATATGAATAAATGTATATTGCAGGCGCCGTTCTTTATTCCTAGAGGTAGAAGGAGTGGGGAGGAAAGGGATGGCCGAGCCAATCCCTTTCAGCAAGCCATCGTCTCTTCACCATGTATTAATAGCTACTTACGTGGCTAACAGTCTTTCTTCTTCTAGCCGTGCCTTCCTACTCAGGGTCAGAAGCGGCGGCGGCGGCTGCAAGAGCAGCAGCGATACCAACGCTACATTGACACCGCGCAGAAGCTGACTGCCCGCTCCTCACCGCGGCGCAGCGCTCTGGCTGCCAGCAGAAACGCCCGCCCCGACCCGAGCGGCCTTCCCATTGAGCCAAGGAAGCATCAATCACGCGATCTGCCTGCCAACCCTCCTCGACATCTCCTCCTCCTCGCCGCGTTTCTCCTTTCCACTCATTCAATGAGCCGGCTTCAGGGTAAACAAGGTGAAATATCCTTCCGCTGAGCAGGCTGTGAAATACGAGCTTTGTGAGCAGTTTCTAGCGGCTACTGTTGCTACTACTGCTACTACGGCGTTTCGTTGACCTCTGCGCGTTTCCGTTTGGGTCGAGTTCTTTCGTGTTTGTGTGTGTGTGCTTTCTCCGGAGAGATGGGAGGAGTTTTCTGCCCATTTATATCCAAGTGCATTTGGGCCATTTTATGAATTAAATGACTCGCTTTAACTGATCGTGTAAACACAACAGACTTGCAACGAAAAGCATTTTCCTTATGTTTACCTTGTGTAAAAATGGATCATTCGCTCATCCGGAATATAAAAAGATCATCTAAAAAAAAACCCACCAAGGCACAATGTTTAGATATATTGTATAAGGCTAAAATAAAGCTTTAAAAACAACACAGAGACTTCCTATGTTTTGTTGACTGATGGGAGAAAGTGCAGTTAGGTCATGCTTTAACTCTCTGGTTAGCAAATGGAAACCCAGGAGCCCAGCCTACTCCTACTCCCACTCAAATGGCTAATATCTTAAAATAAATACCGTGGTGGCAGGAGGCTGCACTTTCCCAGATAACTTATGTTTGGATGGTACATTCTGTTAATGGTCACAATTTGATTAAGCATAGTTGGACTAAATCACATGCGGTTTAAGAACTTACTGCCCTAAGTTGTCAGCCATGGTTTAGAAACCCCAAGCAAACTTAGATTAATGGTTGTAAAGATGTAAACTCATCTTTTGGCTTAGTCTGGGGTAGCTGATGATATTTATCTGATGGAGCAGCCCCTTTCTGTTTGCTCAAATGAGATACGCCCCACTTATCCAATCTTTCTTTGACCTGACTGCCCCAACCTCTGTAAAAACAGTCCACCTGCAGGTAGTTTCATTTCCTCTTTTGGCCGCATTTGCATTTGATAGTCCTTAGCCTAGCCACATTTTGCTGGTGAAAAATGTGAGGAATAACGTATAAGGTCAGGATAAGAAATATGTCACCACATTATTCTGGAGCAATCCGAATGGCTGAATTCCCACACTGCACTATAATAGGTCTTTGAGTTAGACATGTGAATCCACATATCATATATGGCTTAATCAACAAACTATGGTGAACACATGAGAATCCAGCCAGTGTTATTTTTTTGCAGAATAAGAGAGGCTAGGGGCTTTATTTCAGAAGATGGAAAACATTTAATATTTTTTGTAAAGTAGCCAAATTATATTTCGTTGTAATTAAATAAAAAGGAAATGAAATTAGGTTTAGTGTCTTTCCTAATCTCATCTATTACCTACAGTACTTAATTACTGTACCAGCGGACACAACCCTCTAAAATCAAATGTGGCCCTTGAACCTGAACCAAGTTGAAAAACCAAATAGTTCACTTGAAAAACTGGCCTTCTTCTATTAATTTGGATTGTCAGTTGATTTTGACCTCGGCAAAAAAAACAAGGTGTTCTTGATTTAATAATGCATAAATACATTTTTGTTGCCACCTAGCCAACCATGGTTAATTTCAAGAAACTTAGTAGGGCTGGATCTTTTAGTACTTGGATGGGAGATCACTAGAAAATCCTGGGCTATTGATTAGACTGAGAAGTTGGAAAAAAATATCCTGGAAGAAGACAATAGAAAATCAAGAAAAGGGGTGGAGTGGGAGGAGGCTACAGCAGATATGGTGCAAGCTCAACTTAGAGGATTCTTTACTTGATTTGTTGTTTTCTGGGCTGATATGTTAAAGAATTTGACACAAAGAGGTACTGCAGAAAAAAGCATTTTTATCTGACACATTCTAATGGGGTCACTTCTCTACACAGGTCCCTTAGTTTTAATAGTACTTTATTTTAATAATGTGACTGATGGAAATGAATGTGGTGATCATTATTTTCCTGCCCTTTTTATCCTGCTATTTCTTTCTTTTGTATCAGGCTAGCAAGGCAAGTAAGCAGTGCTGAGCCCAAGAGAATTCTAAAGGGAAAATAATGAATATCAAAGAAAAAAAACTTCATAAAAGAATGTATCATTTGAAGAAAAAAAATCTATTATCTCCTGATGAGAAAATGTACCCAGGATACCAATATAAATCAAAACTAGATGGGTGGCAAAATGAATTTTTGATTAGCTTTAGCAAAGTGTGAAAGCAATTTTCTTCAAGTAGAAAGCATAGCTTGGAATCCCTTTGAAAACTTGGAAAAGCTACACAGTAGAATTGAGATGGTTTCGCGGTGGTGAGGTTCAAAGAGCTTTTAACAAATGCTGAAATGTGTGTAACTTCACCAATCCTCATCAAGGTTCTTGGAAAACAGATGTTCATGCAAAAATTTTATTCTGTGCCTTTTTAAAATTCATCAGCAGGCAAGAGCCTGCCTGAAGAAACACTAAAGACATGAACACTAGCTTAAAATATTGTGAAAGAGGAGAGGAGGAGCAAATCATCTAAAAAGCCCATCTACCCAAAGGTAGAGCCTCACTGAGCTAGGTAACCTGTGGAGGGAGGGAGGGAGGGAGGGGCAAAAAAATGGAATGGAAAAGGGAATTCAAAGGAGGTTCAAAAAAAGTCAAGATAGGTGCTGCAGCCTCCTGACCAAAGCCTCGCCTTCTTTTTACATGTGTCAGTCTCCTGGCCATCTGCCAGAGAACTAAGATTGCCATGCAGTAGCGGTTTTAGGTAGTCATCAGCCCCTTGTCTGTGATTTAGGGACAAGACTCGGGGGGGGGGGGAAAGAAATTCACCCAGCTGGTCTGCATGGTTGGTTGCTTTACAAATGGTGAAAGGCTTACCTTTCTCCTTTGTTTCCATTGATGTGCTTCCTACACCTGGAAAAGTGACAAGAGAAGAAATGTGCAGGAAGACTAGTTTCCTTAAAAGAAAAAAAAAATCAATATAAATGTGAGCTAATCAAGATACAAACAAGATAGGGCAAGTAGGATAAAAGAACTCTATAGTGCATTCCAAATGCCTGAAAGCATTCAGAGAATACCCATTTGTACCTCCAGGGAATTTTTTTTTTTTCTATTAGCTCTGTTAATGTGAAGCACTAAGCCAGAAGGAAGTCACTTTTTTTCCAGTCAGAGTCCGAATTTATAATTGTTGACTTTGACTGCTACCTTGATGACTCCTGATACCAATGAGAAGCTGTAATCAAACTTTTCCACTTTTTGTTGGTTGGAAGGGGCGTTGAGAACAACTTTTCAATAAAGAAGGTACCCAGTAAAAGCTTTATATTCCCATTTCAAATTTGACATCTTGCAAAAAAAAAATGAGCTGAAATTTTATTTGCTTCTGGATGGTCCAGCTTGGGAGTTGTGGCTCCCGTGCCATGCCATAAACCCAATCTTAGCCATACATCGTGGCTTACAAACCACAATTCTTGGGTTTACCTAACTTGCTAAGCCAGAACCAAGCCAGTACATAATCACTCAGTGCAATGAGCTTGCTCATTGTTTGATTTTTGTACACATGAAAAGGGAGGGAAAATTAAGATTGGTACCAAATGAGAGGTGGAAAGAGAGCACAGAAGCAACAGGATCTCTTTTAATATTTAAAGCAAAAGCAAAACTTCCTTGCTTTCCTGCCTAGTTTATGAGAAACAAATCAGGAGAAAGCCACACACTCTTCCCCAAGGCAAAAATTTCTACCATCATATTTCTAAGAAGAAAAACAACATTGCTATTTCAATAAAGATGCAAAGCAGCAGCAGAGATAGTTATCAGCCCAGCATTTTGGAAATTGGTGCCTTTCATGTATATCACAGGAATCAGTTAGGAAAAGAAAGGCATTGTTCTATCAGTGATCAATGAAACTATCTTTGGCAAACTTGGTTTAACTTGGAATGGTTAATTTCTTACTATCAAGTTAAATCTACTCCTATAGCACCATATGTGATGCAGTATTGGGTGTCCTTTTTTTCTACAGGGGAATCTTTCCCAACAAGAGTTGGATCTTGGGTTTTGTCTGTGGAGATTCTCAATCATCCGGGTCATGATTGTCCCAAAGATGCTTTTCCAAAAGGCAACTGGACTTTCTTGGGTTTTTTTTTTCTTTGAAAACCTTATGCTTCTCATCCAAGAAGCTTCTTCAGTTCCTGGAGAAGTGAAGAAGCTTCATGGATGAGAAGTGAAATGTTTTCAAACAAAATTAAAGATTTCCATCTAGGTTGTAGTGAGACCATAATGTCTAACATGTGACACAGTAGCTGGAGTACAGGACTAGGCCTGGGGAGATTCATGTTTTTTGCCCATGATGCATGTGGGGGGCAACCTTTAGACACCGTCTCTTAGGGAATAGACTTATTAGATTTGGGCTGATGGTTACCTGGGGCTCCAGCTGCTACTGGTGACTAAAATATCCACCTCTATCTTGGCTAAAATAAGACTAAGCCATGAATATAGCTTGTCCCATGAAGCTCTTGCTGTTCATAATAAGGATAGCAATTTGCATTTAGATATTAGATATTGTTCCACATATCAAACAATGTTCATTAACTATTCCGTGTGAACTTGGAAAAATATTTGCATTTCAATAAAATAGTTGGGCACACAGATTCCCTTTAGTTGAATTTGATTCTTGGAGATTTCACAGATATGTCCAGGTTGTTTTCTTACCAGAGCAAAAAATGACCTTAGGAGTCCTATGTGGCTTGAAGGATGAACAGTTTTAGATAAAATCCTACCCTGGGTGAGAACTTTAAATTATTATCACCAGACTTAGCATGTGGGCTAGGAGTATGGCGAGTGACTATGCTCTTTTGATTTCATCAAGAGTTGCCTAGCCATAATTTGTCATTATGATTGCTTACATACTTTCTGTGATGATAGATATATCATGGAGGGAGATGCACATTAAAGCATCAGAATATCTTTCTTAAGTGCAAAGTTTTTAATTTTGTTTTCAGTGTAGGGGAAGAAAGAAAGTGGTTTTGTAATTAAGGTGCTGCTGCCAGAATGATGCAACTGCTATTTAAA